ATCCCAAAACTACAGATTAAAACATAATTAAAAACAAATATTAATAATTGGTCTGATTATTTTCCAAAGTTATCTTTGGAAAAGCAAAGAAGAAGAAAGAAGAAAGAAGAAAGAAGAAGAAGAAGAAGAAGAAGAAGAAGAAGAAGAAGAAGAAGAAGAAGAAGAAGAAGAAGAAGAAGAAGGAGGAGGATAATGATAATAAAAAAACAAAGTCCAGTTATCTTTGGAAAAGCATCTTTGGCACAGATTTGGCTACACGCCCTGCTCATTTCAGTTCTGCTGCTTTTAATTCCACGCCTCACTCCTTTCCCGTGTTTAATGCAGTAATTGTGCTTCCAGAAGAAAAGAGCATGGGGGGGGGGTAGTTATTTATTTATATCCCAGCTTTATTATTTCTTACAAACAACTCAAGACACTGAACCTGCCCCCTCCTGATTTTCCCACAACAAAAACCCTCTGAGGTGGGCTGGGCTGAGAGAGTGACCGGCCCAAAGTCACCCAGCTGGGCTTTCATGGCTACGGTGAGACTTGAACTCACAATCTCCCGCTTCCTAGCCCGGTGCCTTCACCACTACACCAAACTGGCTGTGATTCACTTAACAACCGGGTTACCGACTTATCAACCGCAGGGATTCGCTGAACGAGCGAGTTGATAAAATGGGGGCAAAACTCGCTTGACGAACGTCTTGTTTAACAGCAGAAAATTTGGGTCGATTGCGGTTGTAAGTCGGGGAGTCTCTCTATTTTTTTCTTCAAAAGAAAAAAAAGGCACGGCTAAAAGGAGACTACTTGCTTTTTGCAGATTTTCCCACTGATCTCGCAGTCCCGGCGGTTAGTGAAACACGGAGAGCTTACAGCTCTGGAGTACAATATCAGCTTGAAGTGGAAACTGACCACCCGACCCATCTACCTCCATCTCTTCAACGATTACCTGCTTCTGTCTCGACCCAGGGAGTAAGTTTTTTTGGGGGGGTCTCTGAGGAATCCAGGGCTGTCTGGACCCTCCTGTCAAAGAGATGGAAAGCTGGAAGGGTCTGTGGCTCACGGCACCTTCAGACGTTCTTCTTCCCAATAAGGGAGATGGCCATAGAGAGGTCTCTGAGGCCTCTTGAAAGAAGAATTTGGCTAGCCTTTTTACCTGCCCTCTTGAGGATAATAATAATAATAATAACAACAACAACAAGGACCTGGGATAGGCAGATGTGGATGTTTGATGTTGCTGCGACGAGATCTATAATACCATCAAACATCCACATCTGCCTATCCCAGGTCCTTGGGAAGGACTCAATAGATAGACAAAAATGCCAAATCCAGTCTGAACATCTGGCTGACTGTGCAATGATCAATAATAATAATAATAATAATAATAATAATAATAATAATAATAATAGTAATAATAATAATGAGTTGGAAGGGACCTTGGAGGTCATCAAGTCCAACCCTCTGTTCAGGCAGGAAACCCCTAAGCGGAATTTTCCTCCAATGGGATTTTCCCATGTATTTGACCAGGAAACATAGGGCAGCCTAGAAAAGTCAGTGCCCTCCTAACCATACCCAAGCACTCTGAGTTTGTTGGCAATGTCCATTTTGCTCTATGAGTTCATGGTGACCTAACCCTAACCCTAAGTGGAATTTTCCTCCAGTGGGATTTTCCCATGTATTTTACCAGGAAACATAGATAGGGCAGCCAAGAAAAGTCAGTGCCCTCCTAACCATACCCAAGCACTCCGAGTTTGTTGGCGATGTCCATTTTGCTCTCTGAGTTCATGGTGACCTAACCCTAACCCTAAGTGGAATTTTCCTCCAATGGGATTTTCCCATGTATTTGACCAGGAAACGTAGATAGGGCAGGCTAGAAATGTTAGTGTCCTCCTAACCATACCCAAGCACTCCGAATTTGCTGGCGATGTCCATTTTGCTCTATGAGTCCATGGTGACCTAACCCTAACCCTAAGTGGAATTTTCCTCCAATGGGATTTTCCCATGTATTTTAGCAGGAAACATAGATAGGGCAGGCTAGAAAAGTCAGTGCCCTCCTAACCATACCCAAGCACTGAGAGTTTGTTGGCGATGTCCATTTTGCTCTATAAGTTCATGGTGACCTAACCCTAAGTCCATGGTGGTGAACCTATGGCACGCGTGCCACAGGTGGCACGCAGAGCCCTCTCTGTGGGCATGTGCGCCGTCGCCCCAGTCCTAGGCCTTCAGCTGGGTTTCCACTGGTTTAACAGAACAACAGTATTTCAGAGCTGGAAGGGACCTTGGACCATTTGTCCAGAAGGGCATAGGGTCTCCTGCTTGAGCAGGGGGTTGGACTAGAAGACCTCCCAGGTCCCTCCCAACTTTGTCATTCTGCTAAGCTGAAACCCGTACACTTCTTTCTGTATTCTCCTGTCTTCCTAAATAGGAATTAAACAACCTCTGCCCAGAGCAGTGAAGGTTGACCCCTGTTTTTCTCTCCCTGTCCGGCAGGAACGGGCGCTTCATCGTGTTTGACTACGCCGCCTCCTCGCACGTGCGTGGGGAGAAGTGTGAAATGAAACTGCACGGCGACAACAAAAACCTTTTCCGCCTTTTCCTGCTGCAGAACAATCAGGGCAAGAAAGTGGAGTTCCTCTTCCGCACAGAAACGCAGTAAGACTCGCACTCAGCGCCCAGCTCAGTTTTACAGGAGAAGCTAGGTTTACACAGCCACCAATTCGGAGCAGCGCCAAAACCTCTTCTTTAAATCAGGGGGGTCTTCAAACTTGGCCCTTTCAGGACTTGGGGACTTCAACTCCCAGAATTCCTCAGCCAGGCATGCAGTATTTCAGGCTGACTCTGCCCACTGCCAGAAGTTCGATCCTGACCCGCTCAAGGTGGAGTCAGCGTTCCGTCCTTCCGCGGTCGGTAAAATGAGGACCCAGATTGTTGGTGGGGAATACACCGACTGTAAACCACTTAGAGAGGGCTGTAAAAGCACTGTGAAGCGGTATATAAATCTAAGTACTATCGCTATCTAAGCTGTGGTGGCGCAGTGGTGAGAATGTGGTATTGCAGGCTGACTCTGCCCACTGCCAGGAGTTCGATCCTGACCCGCTCCGGGTGGACTCAGCCTCCCGTCCTTCCACAGTCGGTAAAATGAGGACCCAGATTGTTGGTGGGCAATACACCGACTGCAAACCGCTCAGAGAGGGCTGTAAAAGCACTGTGAAGCGGTATATAAGTCTAAGTGCTGTCGCTGTTGCCGGCAATCCACTGCCACCAAAAGTGACTGGGATACTGGCTACAATGCCAGTGAATCAGCAAACCCGGCTCATCTTGGTTTGTTCTGCCACCAATGGGTTCCTACGGAGGAATCAGGATAAAGCTGTTGCACCAGGAATTTATAGCGAACGATCTGTGACCGCGTCCCCATGTGGCTGATATAACAAGCCAGGATTTGGCGCAGCAGGGGAACCACGGCCGAGCATGCTTGAAAACCAAGGAACAGAGTATCCGACTTTCTTGCCCTCTGATCGCTTTCTTTGCTTTTCCTAGGAGTGAGAAACTGCGGTGGATTTCTGCTCTGATGCCACAACAGCCGGAACCTGACCTGTTGGATGATTCTGGTAAATAAAAACTAAAAAAAAAACCTCAGGGCACAAATAAAACCAACGAAGGAGAATATGTGTAGCTCAGGGTTGACCTGTGGGGTCCTTGGTGCTCTCTGAGCTGGGTGGTTTTCTTGCAGATGTTTCGTGACCCAAATTCAGTAACATCATCAGGCAACTGATGAAGTTGCCTAGTTTGGGTCATAAAACGTCTGCAAGAAAACAAGCAAGCTCAGAGAGCACCAAGGACCCCACTGTTCTCCTCCTCCTCCTCCCCCTCCCCCTCCTGCCCCTCCTCCTCCATTCCACAAACCCTTCTAGCACTGATGAAATTGCCTAGTTTGGGTCATGAAACGTCTGCAAGAAAACCACCAAGCTCAGAGAGCACCAAGGACTCCACAGTCCTCCTCCTCCTCTTTCTTCTTCTTCTTCTTCTTCTTCTTCTTCTTCTTCTTCTTCTTCTTCTTCTTCTTCTTCTTCTTCTTCTTCTTCTTCTTCTTCTTCTTCTTCTTCTTCTTCTTCTTCTTCTTCTTCTTCTTCTTCTTCTTCTTCTTTACAAGAGGTTGTGGCTTTTGTTGTCCAATTGTTGTTTTGTTGTCCAATTTGGGTTGCCCTCTTGACTTTTGACAGCCTTCCTACGGACAGCGCTCTTCCTGAAAGCAAACTTTCATGAAAACAAAAGCACCGAGACTCACGGTTTTAGATTTTAAGGTGGTTGAAAACAGAATCCAGAAAACCCTGGCCCATCGGTGTGGAATCCCAGGATAGGAAATAGGGCTAAATGTTTTATGATAAATATTTTAATCTACGTCAATCATCTTGACTTTTGAGCGTCTTTTTATTACGTGACGTAGAAAAGGAGAGATAACTTGTATTAACCCAAACCCACTTTGGACTAGCTTAATTTTCCCCAAATGACCACCCCTGCCTCCCATCACTTTTCCAGATGCCCCCCAGGTGCAGTGCGTGAAATCCTACAAAGCGCGAGAGCACGATGAGCTGACTCTGGAGAAAGCCGACATCATCATGGCCTTGCAGCAAAGCAGTGACGGTGAGTTGACCCATCCTTCCATCCTTCTGAGGTCGGGGGCAATTCTGATTGTTGGGGGGGGCAATAGGCTGACTCTGTAAACTGCTCAGAGAAGGCTGTAAAGCACTGTGAAGCGGTATATAAGTGCTATGGCTATAGCTACTGTATCTAAGCCATGGTGGTGCAGTGGTGAGAATGCAGTATTGCAGGTTGACTCTGCTCACCGCCAGCAGTTCGATCCTGACCAGCTCAAGGTTGACTCAGCCTTCCATCCTTCCGAGGCTGGTAAAATGACGACCCGGATTGTTGGGGGGCAATAGATTCACTCTGTAAACCGTTTAGAGAGGGCTGTAAAAGCACTGTGAAGCGGTATACAAATTTAAGTGCCATTGCTATCTAAGCCGTGGTGGCGCAGTGGTGAGAATGCAGTATTGCAGGCTGACTCTGCCCACTGCCAGCAGTTTTATCCTGACCGGCTCAAGGTCGACTCAGCCTTCCACCCTTCCGAGGTCGGTAACGTGACGACCCGGATTGTTGGGGGGCAATAAATTCACTCTGTAAACTGTTTAGAGAGGGCCGTGAAAGCACCGTGAAGCGGTATACAAATCTAAGCGCTGTCGCTATTGCTATCCTTTACATCAGGGTAAAATGTGCCTTAAGGCGCTCAATTTTTTTTAGGATGACTAGATAAGTTGCAATTACTGTACATTCTCCAGCCGAGCGTCCGATTTGCTTTTGATCTCTCTTCTGCAGGCTGGATTAAAGGCGTGAAGCTCTCCGACGGGGAGAGAGGTTGGTTTCCTTTGGATCACGTGGAGGTCATCTCCAGCAAGCAGATCCGACAGATGAACCTGAAGGAGGAGCAGCGGGTGAAAAATGCCAAACAGCAGGTCTTTCGCAGGAGATAAGGGCCCCCCTCTCCAGAAGACCCCACCCCACCACCACCACCCCTCTCTCCAATCCAGGAGGACATTATTACCGGGATCTGCAAGGGGTGAAAAGGCCCCGTTGAATTATGAGGCGGAAGGGGGCCAAAGCACAAACTGGTGTTACTGGAATAGGTTGTATCAGTCTGTCCCCTGCGCTGGTAAAAACAGGAGGAAAAAAAGAAAACTGCATGGTTTTTCCTGGGAGGATCTGCAGAGAAGAAAGAGCCAAAGAAACAAACAGGGACCTTCAGAGAGAAGCTGATTGTTTTGCTCCGACTCGTTTAAATGCACAGACCCACTGGCCAGGGAGGTCGCTTCAGCTCTGCCCACCTCACAGAAAGATGTGAGGCTAAAATGTTAATATTTGAACGTGCTTTGAACTGTCTAGCAGAATGCAGTAGAAGGGGGAAAAAAATACACTTTGCGGTATTAGGAGGAAACAGTGTCGTCTTTCCATTTTAGCTCATGCCAATAATATTCCTCCTATCAAACGCTTGCCTACGTCAAACCCCTCTCATTATGCATATGCACAAACACACACATTTCCCAGGGGAAACACTTGATTTGTTCACTAGGAAAGCTTTGTTGTTGTTGTTTAGTTGCGAAGTCATGTCCGACCCATCGGACAACGTTCCTCCAGGCCTTCCTGTCCTCTACCATCTTCTGGAGTCCATTGAAGCTCACGCCTACTGCTTCAGGGACTCCATCCAGCCACCTCCTTCTCTGTCGTCCCCTTCTTCTCTTGCCCTCCATCTTTCCCAGCATCAGGCTCTTCTCCAGGGAGTCCTTCCTTCTCATTAGGTGGCCAAAGGACTTGAGTTTCAGCTTCAGGATCTGGCCTTCTAAGGAGCAGTTGGGGTTGATCTCCTCTAGGACTGACCGGTTGGATCGCCTTGCAGTCCAGGGGACTCGCAGGAGTCTTCTCCAGCACCAGAGTTCAAAAACCTCCATTCTTTGGCCGTCAGCCTTTCTTATGGTCCAACTTTCACAGCCACACATTGCAACTGGGAAAATCGTGGCCTTGACTATACACACTTTTGTTGGCAGGGTGATGTCTCTGCTTTTTAGGATGCTGTCTGGATTTGCCATAGCTTTCCTCCCCAGGAGCAAGCGTCTTCTAATTTCTTGGCTGCAGTCCCCATCTGGGGTGATCTTGGAGCCCAGGAAGGTAAAATCTCTCGTTATGCATACACACAAACACACACATTTCTCAAGGGAAACACTTGATTTGATCACTAGGAAAGCTTTACCTGTTCTTAATTCCTGCTTGATGGGTGGTATTAAAAGAACAGGATGATGACAAAATGAAGAACGGCTGTAGGAATTGGGCATGGCTAGTCTAGTGAAGAGAAGGACCAGGGGTGACATGATAGCAGAGGTCCAATATTTGAAGGGCTGCCCCAAAGATGAGGGCACAGGAGGTCAAGCTATTCTCCAAAGCACCAGAAGGCAAGAGAAGAAACAATAGTTGGAAACTAATCAAGGAGAGAAGCAACCTAGAACTAAGGAGAAACTTCCTGACAGTGAGGACAATTAACCAGTGGAACAACCTGCCTCCAGAAGTTGTGGGTGCTTTGTCACTGGAGGTTTTTAAGAAGAGACTAGACAGCCACTTCTCTGAAATGGTGTAGGGTCTCCTGCTTGAGTAGGGGGCTGGACTAGAAGACCTCCAAAGTCCCTTTTCACTCTGTTGTTCTATTAAAAAAAAAACCCCAGTGGTTTTGACCGTTGCCCTTTCTTCTTCTTTTTTTATTTTTATTTTATTATGAGATAAAAATACAAAAGAAAACAAGAGTTAGAAAAGCGAAAAGAAAGGAGGAGAAAGATGCAAAGGAGAGAGAAAAAAAGGAGTAGCTTTCCACTTTTTTTCGGTGTACAAGAAAAAAAAGAAACGCAACCTCTCAGCTTTTTGTTTTACCTTTCGCAACATCCCAGGTCATTTCTCCCACAACGAAATCCCTCTCCTCCTTGGAAACCTAAAATCAAAGTGTCTTTTTTTCCCAGCTGCGAGCAAAAAGTTCAGAAGCGGTTTCCAAAGTCGAATAATAAAGGCGGCGGGGGGGGGGGGGTTGGACTAGAAGACCTCCGAGGTCCCCTTGAGCCCTGTGATTCTGGAAAGAAAACTAGATCAATTCTTCCCTCTAATTAAAGCAGCCTGTTTGGCCATCTCTGCATCACTTTTACCATCCACTCTTCCCTTGTGGGAATTAGCCCGTCTTTCCTTCTTTTTGCCTAGGAGATTCTGGCTGCTATCGGCAAGCATAATAACAAAACTCCAAATTTTCAAGCCATTTACTCTTGGCCTTCCTTCTCCAAGGGCTGTTTTTGACACCAGCCGAAACTGAAAAATGGGATAATGCATCGCAGTAAACCAAACGATGTTGGTTTTTGCCTTGGCCCAAGTGTGGTGCGTTCAGAAAGCCTGTTAAAGCCAATCTTGGCTTAGTGCAATGTGAACACATGTCTGCGCCACCTTTACCCTGTCCTTAGACAGCTCCTTAACTGCCTCTTCACTTTCCAATAGTTAAAACATGTTGTCCGAACCTGGAACGGGGATCCCCTTTTGTGACCTTTTGACAAGCGAAGTGGAGATCCACGGGAGATCCAGAGACATTGGATCAGGCAGAGGTTTCCCTTGAGAGATTCTAGCTATTGGCAAACTGAGATTTCCCGCAGCCTCCCATCTTAAGTAGATAATCCCTCAAATTACAATCGCCGTTCAGCCCAACGCTTCTGTGGCTATGCAAAGCAATTATTAAGTGAATTTTGCCTCATTTTAGATAGATAGATAGATAGACAGACAGACAGACAGACAGACGATAGATAGAAGATAGATAAGATATAAATAGATAAGATATAGATAAGATAGATAGATATATAGATGTAGACAGAGACATGATAGATAGAAGATAGATAAGATAGATAAGATAGATAAGAGATAGATAGATAGATAGACAGACAGACAGACAGACAGACAGACGATAGATGATAGACAGAAGATAGATAAGATATAAATAGATAAGATATAGATAAGATAGATAGATATATAGATATAGACAGAGACAGATGATAGAAGATAGATAAGATAGATAAGATATAGATAGATAAGATATAGATAAGATAGATATATAGATATAGACAGAGACAGATGATAGATAGAAGATAGATAAGATAGATAAGATATAGATAGATAAGATATAGATAAGATAGATAGATATATAGATATAGACAGAGACAGATGATAGAAGATAGATAAGATAGATAAGATATAGATAGATAAGAGATAGATAGATAGATAGATAGACAGACAGACAGACAGACAGACAGATGATAGATAGAAGATAGATAAGATAGATAAGATATAGATAGATAAGATATAGATAAGATAGATAGATATATAGATATAGACAGAGACAGATGATAGAAGATAGATAAGATAGATAAGATATAGATAGATAAGAGATAGATAGATAGATAGATATAGACAGAGACAGATGATAGATAGAAGATAGATAAGATAGATAAGATATAGATAGATAAGATATAGATAAGATAGATAGATATATATAGACAGAGACAGATGATAGAAGATAGATAAGATAGATAAGATATAGATAGATAAGAGATAGATAGATAGATAGATAGATAGATAGATAGATAGATAGATAGATAGATAGATAGACAGACAGACAGACAGACAGACAGACAGATGATAGATAGAAGATAGATATAATCTTTATTGCTTTTTTTTTTACTGTGGGCACAACAGCACACCTTAAAAGATGAAATTTAGTTGCTTGCTCTCCAAGTGTACACATACGTAACACACATTTTATGCCCTTTCTTGCCACACTCGTTAAGTAACGGTCGTTAAATGAACCTGGTTTCCCCCGTTGATTTTTGCTGGTTGGAAGGCCGCAAAAGACGGTCACGTCGGACACGGCAACCGTCGTAAACACAGGCCGGTTGCCCAGCGAATTTTGATCACCTGACTGCCTGGATGCTGCAACAATCATCAGTGTGAAAAAAATGGTCAGAATTCACTTTTTTAAAAAAAAATTTGAACAGTCACTAAACGAACGGTTGTAAACTGAGGAAAACCTGTATATCCCTTCCAAGGCTGCTTGATTTTCCGGAGATCAACCAGGATCCCCCCTTCATTGTGTGCAACATTCCTGGGCGAGCACAAAAGGTGCTGTTAAGGTCCACGCCGCTGGATCCCATTTAAGGTTAAGCCCAGGGAGAAATGGGGGCAGAAGCCTGGCAGACCCGAGGGGAAAAAATCCCATCCAGACGTGCTGATTTGACCCCCCAGACAGCTACCTAAAATGCTCTTCTACTAAGAGAAAACCAGGTTTGGGTTCAGCCGGGCGCGATCCAGGGGGACTAAGAACCGCGCAGAGGCGCCCGGCTGCGCGCAGCCGAGAGGGGCCGAAAAACGCAGCTTTCCAACAGCGGAGCGCGGGAAGGCCGGCTTGCAAAGCCTTGGCGGCGCATAGCTAGAATAACGAGAGTGGGGAAGGGACCTTGGGAGGTCGTCTAGTCTGACCCCCTGCCCCACCAGCCCAAGCCGTCGCGGGAAGGCCGGCTTGCAAAGCCTTGCGGCATAGCTAAAATAACAAGAGTTGGGAAGGGACCTTTGGAGGTCATCTAGTCTGACCCCCTGCCCCACCAGCCCAAGCCGTCGCGGGAAGGCCGGCTTGCAAAGCCTTGCGGCATAGCTAAAATAACAAGAGT